GGTATTGCTATCAGAGGACACTTCGATAGTACATCAAACTTCAATAATCTGCTTCATTTAAGAGCTAACGATATTCCAGAACTGCAGTCTTGGTTGGGCAGAACAGGATATATATGGTTATCTCATGATATTTCGAATGAAGTAATGTCCATTTTATCGAATGCTGTTCAGAGAATTATTCATGACCGTGTCCGTTCGCAAGAATTTTTTTCAATAATTGCTGACGAAACATCAGATTTTTCAGTGAGCGAACAAATGTCTTTCTGCTTGAGAAGCGTGAATGCTTCCTTGGAAGTTGAAGAATATTTCATCGGTGTGCACGAGACTGAATCCACAACTGCAGATGTTCTCTATAACATGATTAGAGATGTTTTATTACGTTGTCGATTGGAGATTGGCAATTGTCGCGGACAGTGCTACGACGGCGCAGCGAATATGAGTGGATGTGTCAATGGTGTTAAAAAAAAATTCTTCTCGATGTAATGTTGATCATGTCGTGTTTATGTTTTTCGTAAATATAGGATATAGGTATGTTTATCTATCTTCATATTTTTCATTCAATAAACGTTAATAAATTAGTAGAATATGTTTATTTTCCTAAAAATTTGGCTACCCAGCCCACCCTACCTTTTTCAGCACAAAGACAAAAACTTTGATAATCGAAGGTGAGGTGCACCGGAGGGCATTTCTAAAAGTCGGCGCCACTGCTTGGCATGCTACTTCTTTGTCGTCAATCCTAATTGGGGAAGCTATTGTATGTACTTGCACCTCTGATTGTGTTTGAGTAGTAGATTTGCAAAGTATTTTAGTTTCTTTCTCAGCTTTCGTTTTTTTCTTAGTTATCGTACCTCGTACGTTTCTTTGGGCTGTCGATATTCGTTTTTACTTTGATCAATATTTATATTTAAGTGTTTGTGGTATTTATCTCGTTTAATCTTTTTAATTACTTTTTCTTCTATTTCTTCATCCCACCAATATGGCTTCCTTCGTTCGGTTTTTTCATATTTACTCAGGGCTTCTTCTGCTGCACTTTTGAGACATTGTTTTATATATTTGCAATGGTGCTCAATACTATCAAAGTTTTCTTGTAAGAGCTTTTCATCAAGTCGCTTTTTTCTGTGCGCTTAGAATATGTTGTTTCTTTTTTATGAAAGATGCTTTCAGAACAAGAAAGTAACGTGTTCATTTTTATTACAAAATGTCAAGTAGTTTAGGAGATAATGCAAAAAAACAATTTTTATTTTGTAACTTCAAAGGGTTTTAACTTTTTTTGTGTACACTTTTGTACGAAGGTACTAAGGATTCAATTAATTTATTTTAGTCCCCGGAATGCTTGATTTAATTTATGACATACCTTTTTGTAACACCCTGTATACGAGCAAACTAAAACGGTCAGAATTCCATTTTATTTATGTTATTGTGAAAAATGCAATTTTGATGAAAAATAGGGTATATAATTTTTGTAACTAGAATAAATATAATTTTATAACTTTTTGTGCAATTTTTAATTTTCGATTTTTATATGTTTCTAAACGAATTCTAAAACTATGTATTTTCGTATTAATAATATTGTTTCCTAATAAATAAATCATCAAAAAACATTTATTTATCTTTCTTATGTAGTGATATGAGGAATTCTACCTTAACTGGGGCCAAATATGTTGATATTGCAATTTGCTGCCCGTACCCCGAAGTAACAATTTTTTTCTGTAGGTTGAAACCAAAAAAACATGTTTTTAGGTGCGAGCCTAAAAAAAGGCAAATTTAAGTTTTTTCCAACAAAAAACTGATTTGTTCGCTAAAGCTATTTCATTCTTCTAGCGATCTGCCTCGAAAAACGAGTGAAAGAGACTTCTATACTTGGAGCACACGTACATATCAGATACCAATCGCTTTGTCTTGATCCCCAGAATGAATTCTGACCCTTTGAAGAGCCAAAAAACACCTGCTCAAAGCGTGGCAAGCGGTTATTCAGTCACTAAAATCGACGTTTTTTTTTTCATTTTTTCGCGATTTTACCCGAAAATAGATTAAAAGATACCTTTATAGTTGAAGCACACATACATATTAGGTACCAATCGCTTCGTCTTGGTCCCCAGAATGAACTCTGACCCTTTGAAGAACAAAAAAAAGCTCAAAGCGTGGCAAACGGTTATTCAGTCCCTAAAATCGACGTTTTTTTTTCATTTTTTCGCAATTTTATCCGAAAATAGATTAAAAGATACCTCTATAATTGGAGTACACATACATATTAGGTACCAATCGCTTCGTCGTGATCCCCAGAATGAATTCTGACCCTTTGAAGAGCCAAGAAACACCTGCTCAAAGCGTGGCAAGCGGTTATTCAGTCACTAAAATCGACGTTTTTTTTTTCATTTTTTCGCGATTTTACCCGAAAATAGATTAAAAGATACCTCTATAGTTGGAGCACACATACATATTAGGTACCAATCGCTTCGTCTTGGTCCCAGAATGAATTCTGACCCTTTGAAGAGCCAAGAAACACCTGCTAAAGCGTGGTAAGCGGTTACTCAGTCCCTAAAATCGACGTTTTTTTTCATTTTTTCGCGATTTTACCGAAAAATCAAGTTAAAATGACTTCCGTAAGTGAGGTTCATCTACCTATCGGAAGTTGGTGACTTGATCCTCAGTATGTAGCCTGATCCGTCATCAAATTATAGATAGTAAATTGTAATATAGCTGAAAACCTTCATATATTAATTTATCGTGTTTTAAGTAAGAAAATAGGATTAAATTTTTTTTCTTCTTTTTTTTTATAACAAACTTTTTTTTGTTAGTATGAGTATTAGAACGAGATAAAAGTTAGTCAAGTAAAGAAAAATAAATACATAGAATACAATACATCAAAAATATTCTAAATTTTTTATTATTGATAGATACTATTTAACAATGGTATAAATATATTTATTTTTCGTTAATTATAACACTATAAAAAAAGAACTTGGCATATAATATTAAATAATCTTGTGTTTAACAGAAACAATACATATTAAAGCTCAAATAATATGAAATAAAAAAAATTTTAATACTTTTTTGATTAAAAAAAATTATATTAATTATGTAAATTGTATAAATTGTAATATATCATATAATTATATTATTTTTTACAGTCTTTTCAATCATTTTTTTTCTGATTTTCACTGATATTGTACATTATTTCATTTCTAAATTTAGTTAGTTCTGACGATTCTATTTTACATAAAACGTTTGAGTTTATAAAACGTTTTGTGTATGCTCTGGTCGATTTAAAAAACAAAAGCCATTTTTTGTAGTTAAGAGAAATTTTGTTATAAGTATGTTCGTTGTTTACCTCTTCAACTACCCCTGCGTACCATTGATCATAAATTACTACCATCCAATCGCCTTTGGAAAACTCAGTTGTCGAATGAAAGTCATTTTAACTTGATTTTCCGGTAAAATCGCGAAAAAAATGAAAAAAAAACATCGATTTTAGGGACTGAATAACCGCTTGCCACGCTTTGAGCAGGTGTTTCTTGGTTCTTCAAAGGGTCGGAGTTCCTTCTGGGGACCAAGACGAAGCGATTGGTACCTGATATGTACGTGTTCTTCAACTATACAGGTCTTTTTTAATCTATTTTTGAATAAAATCGCGAAAAAATGAAAAAAAAAACGTCGATTTTAGGGACTGAATAACCGTTTGACACGCTTTGAGCTTTTTTTTGGTTCTTCAAAGGGTCAGAGTTCATTCTGGGGACCAAGACCAAGCGATTGGTACCTAATATGTATGTGTGCTCCAACTATAGCGGTATCTTTTAATCTATTTTCGGGTAAAATCGCAAAAAAAATGAAAAAAAACGTCGATTTTAGTGACTGAATAACCGCTTGCCACGCTTTGAGCGGGTGGTTCTTGGCTCTTCAAAGGGCCAGAATTGATTCTGGGGATCAAGACGAAGCGATTGGTGTTTAATATGTATGTGTGCTCCAACCATCGAGCAAAAGATAAAAGAGGAATGTAAAGGTAGTGGGGACAAAAATATTGTTAGACAGGAAGAGCTATCTTGAGAGGCCACTTTAAACAAGGAAAGACAGTCTCTTTCCTTGTTTAAGAAGTCAAATTTAGTTTGGTTATGTTATTGTTTGTCCCGTCACATGAAATTTTATTTATATTGAAGTTTTTTTACCAATTATGTCACTTTTTAGGACTATTATCGTTAATATTTAATTAAAACTTGTCTGAAAACTTGTCTGAAAAATATTTTACAGGTATTGTTAACAAGTGTTGGAAATTTAAATTTAGCGCCTTTGCATGTCCGGATATGTCCGCCATCAGAGGCCACTTTTTTGGTCTCCTTTTCATAACGATTAGATTCCCTCTTTATCTTTTTGCTCGATGGCTCCAACTATAGAGGTATCTTTTAATCTATTTTCGGGTAAAATCGTGAAAAAAAATTACAAAAACGTCGATTTTAGGGACTGAATAACCGTTTGCCACGCTTTGAGCAGGTATTTCTTGGATCTTCAAAGGGTCAGAGTTCCTTCTGGAGACCAAGACAAAGCGATTGGTACCTGATATGTACGTTTGCTCCAAGTATAGAAGTCTCTTTCAGTCGTTTTTCGAGGCAGATCGCTAGAAGAATGAAATAGCTTAAGCGAACAAATCAATTTTTTGTTGAAAAAAACTTAAAGTTGCCTTTTTTGAGGCTCGCACCTGAAAACATGTTTTTTGGTATCAACCTAAAGAAAAAAAATTGTTACTGCGGGGTACAGGCAGCAAATTGCAATATCACCATGTTTGGTTCCAGTTAAGGTGCGAATTTTTGCAGAATTCCTCATATGCACTCGCAAGGAAACTCGCAATAGTAAAGAAGGACATGAATAAAAAAAATTTAAGAAGATATCCAATATTTCATTAGCTGCAGATTTACGAGTATTTGTTTGAATGGGAATGATTACCTTAAACTTTATCATCTAGTGATAAACTGATCGAATCGAATGATAAATAAAATTTAAAAACAAACCTTTAACCAAGGTGAAGCAGATGGAATCCAGTCATCGCGTTGATATTCATACACGCCGATGTCTGTCTCAGATGTAGGTTCTCCAATTTCTGGTTCGTCAATAGCTCTCACTATACTTGTCGTATATGAATTGAAAGCGAAAAAATCATTTGTTCCCTTAATGTATTTTATTTCTTCTTGTGTAAATTCAGGAAGACGTGATTTAGAATAACCTTCTAATTTGCTTCGTAAACCTATACGAGATTTCATAATTGGTGGCCAGTCACCATGATATAGAGCGTGTCCAAATAATCCCCACTGAAATATTTAAAATAATGCGTTAATTAAATTTTATGAGATATGAATTAGAAACTTACTGAAAATTGCATCTTTGTTTCAGCTGCAATAATATCATCAGTTTTATTTGTTTCCGGTTCGTACCAATTTAAATTAAGCACCATTGAAATTTTACCTACAAAAAAGTTGTAATATTGAATTTAGACTACAGTGCTTAAAATTAGCAAATTTGGCACAATTGCGATATACGGGGTGGTCAACTTTTGTGACAAAGTCCATTATTTCTGTTATTGTAAAAGATACCAAAAAAAGTTATTTACAGAAATAGTAGGTATCTGTAAACTATACATTTTAAAATTAGTTTCAAAGGTCGTCCATAACAATAATGTATCTGATCAAAGATATGTTTTTTAAACGAAACACTCATATTTCATTTTAAATTTAAAATTTGCTTCACTTTCTCGTTACACGAATACATAATTATGTATGTATTCCTGAAGATGTTTTAATTACTGAAGAATACGACATAAATAATTGCAAAAACCGATCCCAGCCAACGAGAAAAGAACCAAAGAGTGAGGTGAGAAGGTCGCCTAGATCAACATTCAGAAGTTTGTCAGACAATCCTATTAGAAATACTAATAGATATAGTAAGTGACTACAGAAAAGAAAAAGATACTCCATAATCTGAAGTTGCTTATTTGAAGGGGCACCTAGCGATTGGTAAAAATAAAATAGAAAAACTTTGATCGAATGAAAGGCAGATATCGAGAACAGTTTTATTAATTAAATATTGCCCAAGTATGAGAGAATGCATTCTCTTTCGTGTTTCCGACCATAATATTCGCTCCGTGCGTGACCATGGTAGGGATACATTGAAACGATGCCAGCGTGCGTAGCGGCGAAATATGACAAAATGGGAATATTGGACAAAATATTTTTACGCATAAATTTTATCAAAAATGCGTGCAAATACACGTTGCGTATTTAATTGTGCTAATAATAGCAAAAATGGTGATTGTAGTTTTCATAGGTTCCCAAAAATTACATATAAATTAGAAAAAAGAAAAAGATGAATTCGTGCTATTAATATGAAAAAGTAAATATCACATAGTTTCATTTTTATGCAATTGAAATAGAAAAAATTTAAATAATTTACCTTGAATGATATTTCATAAGGCTACAAGCTAACTGCAGATGACTTTAGCTTTTATATCCTAACTTTTACTATTATTGTTTTTAATTATATGCTCTTTTGCGTGAAAAACTTGATTTGCCAGTACTAGATTTTTCCCTTTCTTTTCCGTTTGGAGTTGAAAAGGTATATTATGATGAATTTTGAGAAACCCAGTTTTTAATACTACATTTATTTTGTACATAAACTTTAAAATATAGCTAAAAAACTAATTTATTAATAATTGTCAATTTCGCATGTATTTAACAATGTCAAACATATGTCATAAGTTTAACCTGAAAATTGGGATTCCCAAATTGTCAGATGAAGGCGGTAGGTGTCGCATCAGTCACGCACGGAGCGAATAGCTTCGCCTATTTTTTAATTAATTTTAAACTGTTGGTCCTTGTGTAGTGTAGTGTTATGTACAATTTTATGTTTATGACATTCTGTGATTGTTGGATAGGCCAAAATTGACGAAATGACCCTGAAGATGCTCTAGGAAGCGAAAGTACTTGGGCAAGATTTAATTAATAAAACTGTGCTCGATATCTGCCTTTCATGTAAAGTTCATTTATTCGAGCATTCAACCTTTTATCAATTTATTGAAATAGAAAAGTTAAGAGAACAGATGTCAAGTTTACAGAATGAAAAAAAAACATGCAGTGAACGAATTACAGATTTAAAGCCACTCTCTGCTTAAAGAGAATGTAACCGAAGAAGTACGACTCCAGCTGACCACAGTTAAACAGAAAAAAGATAACGATCAGACTTTAAAAACCTTAAACAAAGTTAAAAAGAAAGGTAAAGAAATAAAAGTCATACGAGAATGGCTTAATAATGAAGTTATACCTATTTGGCAGGAAATAACCAATTACAGTGGAACTACAAAGGCGTACTGGCTTTAATGGGAAACTTTGTATCTTTCCAATAGTCTATTATTTTGGAATTGGGAGAGTCCTCAAGTACGTACCGTTTAACAAGCGGTACTGCCAAAATCACACATTAAAAGTGTGTTGCAAGAACTTCGAGACAGATTTTACTGGATCAATTGTTGCCGAGATGTAAAAGATTGGTATAAGAAATGCGATTTATGTAACGGTAGAAGATCCTAGAACAAGAAGTCGTAGTAAAATGGCACAATAGCTTTTCAGAGTCTCTTTTGAACAACTTGCAGTAGACTTTCTCATACCACTTCCAGTTACAGAGAGAGGAATCAAGTACTTTATGGTTGTAAGCGATTATTATTTAAAAATGCCTAAAATTGCAGCCCTTGTAGTAGAAGCATTTTTCACACACGTCGTATTGAGCCATGAAGTTCCTTTGAAGTTATATTTTGATCAAGGATGAAATTTTGAATTAAAGTTGGTAGGAAGTAATGACAATATTGGTTATTAAGAAAACTCGCACCCAGCCTCTCCACATCCAATCAGACGTAATGGTCGAAAGACATCATAGAACTGTTTGTCAATACCTTTCAATGTTTGTCGCTAATGATTAAAAATATTGGGATACTTTCTCTATTGTTGTTAGCCTACAAATAGAAGTAACGAACATAAAGCAATCAGTTATTCTTCATCGATGGTGATCATTGAAACAGAACTTATGCTTCCTTAAGATCCTATTTTTGGACGACTGCTTCTCTGCAAAGAAGAATGTTCATCCCTGACGTACAAAAAAAATTGGAAAGAAACATTCGAAAAAGTCTACGAATTTGCTCCTAAAAATTTAAAGCTTCAAAGTGATAAAACCATAATCAGGCTCGACATACATGCTACAGGTATAAGAGGTGGCCCAGTATGATTATACAATTCCACAAGTAGAAAGGACTTTGTCCGAAACTTCAACGAAACTGCTAAGACCCGTACACCATCCTTCAAAAAAAAAATGATCTGATCTACTGCATCCAGTTTTCAGATAGAAGTAAACCTAAGGTAGTTCATATGGAGTGATTAGCTACTAGATAGACTAGTTATTCCAAGCGAATAACTATAGAGTTTACTATACGACTAATACAGTGTTACGAAAGTTCCGAAAGATTTGAGAATAAGTCCTCTAAACCTAAATAGAACAAACCTAAATCTAAAAAGTATTTGAGATGATATTAGACTCAAGGCTTACTTGGAATCAGCAGATAGAACAAATGCCTCATGAAAGCATATGGGGTTTAAAATTAGCTCCCTCATGGAAGCGTATAGGGTAAAAATCATAATAACATATGAATAAGTGGCCAAAGATACAGCAAAAAGTGTGATTCTTAAAATTAATCAAGGTACAAACACTTGGAATTACACGAGCTCTGAAGAAAAAATCAACAGCAGGTATGGGAGCCCTTTTTGACCTTTATTTTCTTTCATCAAGTATTTATAAAGGGAAGGTGAAAATAAGATATAGATTACGAGAAAACCTGAACAACGTAAAGGTTGAATTAAAAGACAGTGACATCATGAATTAAATTGGAAATACTTTACGAATGATAAATTCATTTCGTTTCCAGCCAGACGTATGTCCACGAAAAGAATGGGACAAATTCATACAATCCAAGGTTATACCTGTTATAAGACGGCTCATAATCTGCAAAAGGGTCGGATGTAGGAATATACAGTAAGGGTGAAAATGTGAACATTTATTGCACCAGCAGAATATATCTCTGTATTCCATGTAGAGATTTAAGCAATATTGCATTACGCAAGAGAACTTAAAGAGAGTCAATATATGGATAGATACTCAAGTCGCAATGTGGGTTCAAAGTAGACCTTAGGTAAAGCCTCCGGAAAAAAGGCCGGAAAAAAACCTCGAGCCGAACTTAACACAACTCTCACTAGGAAAGTATACCAAGTCAAGCACATGGTAAATTGTAAATTGCAGTTAACGGATATACTGCTAACAGGACTGAACTACTGCGAAAAATAACTAGAAATCAGCTGGATTGTTTTATAGGGACTTAAGCTTCAGACTCTGTAGCAGGGAATCTGAAACATCCAACCATATATTTTATCTCTGAGCCACACCTTAACCCTATCTGTTTTTTTAGCATATAAAATATCTTAACTACGTTATAGTCATAAATTCATCATTTATCAAAGATATCTTACACAGATCATTTATATATAAAGATAAAGTAAACATTTAAATACTTACCATGTTGTTTAGATCTATATTCTTCATCATACAAATGCCAGACTTTAGCATGAGCTCTAAGTAAGTTTGCAGCACAGTCATATGCCTTCACTACACCGTCATATATGCAAGATTCGTGTGGTTCATTTATAGTTAACCAGTATTTTACATCGTCTCCAAATTCGTCAAAAGCAACTCTCGCAAAATCTCTAAGCCAATCAGGAAAGGAAGCATTGTAATAACCACCTAAATCACCAAGTACTTGAGGCAGATCTCCATGAATAATTGTTACAAGAGGTTGGATATTGTTAGCTTTTAGTTCAGCTATAAGGTTCTTGTAGTAAGCTACTCCAAGGGGATTGATGTAAGTATTAAAACCTTAAATAAAAGTTTTGTTTATTTTATTTGTAGCTCAATTTTTATATAAATATTAAATATAAAACTAATCTTAAATGTATTAATTCGATGGCGAGGCTGGTCACCATACTCAGTTTGATAGAGTGGTATAGAGATTTCTTGGTTCAAATCTTAACGGGGTCACAAAAAACAGAAAGTTTCACGTAATATGTAGTTGAAAATATAAAAGAGATTTTTTTAATTGAATTGTAATACCTTTGGGGACCATTTCATGCCGATGGATAAATTTATTGGTAAGAAATTAGAATTTATCGCTCAGTGTTACTGTTTAGAAAAATATTTAGTATTTAATTTAATATTTTATTTTTAATATTCTTAATATCTTTAACATACTACGATCTATTTGTAGTATATTTAAATTAAGTACTTACTTAAAATCTACTTTCATATTTAAAAATTCCTCTCAGTAAAAATTCAGTAGTCATATGTTTTTAAGTTCAAAGAAATATACTTCTCGTGTATGACCTTGAAAGCCCAAAACGCTTATAAGGATCAAATTTATTGAAACTTTATCTAAATCATTACACTTAAAAGGGCAATGCATACACAATACAATAGCTTTAATTTACGACGGTACGCCCACTTCTCGAAATATCTCAGACTAGATCCTTGACCACCAAGTAAAGGGGTTTTGGTGAATATGAAATGGCAATGTTACCAAACCTAGGGAATTTTCCCTATACCTAGAGAATTTTAAACCAGCTTAGGGAAAAAGGGATTTTCATTCAATTTTATAAAAAATCTAGGGAATTCTTAACAGTTAGTTAGTAGTTAGAGCCACTAAATGTGGCTCGTCATAGCTTGTCACAGGAGAGTAGGACGGTATAAATTCCGCATGATAAAATCATATGATTTTTGGTAATAATACCGGTAACACCAACATATATAAATATCGCGTCTTATTCTTGTGTCAATTCAACGACATTCCCTTACCGAGAGACAACATCCTTTATTTATTTGTTTGGTTTGTTGCATTGATATTGACCCTATTGTCTTATCTGTGCTATTGTGCCGTATTTTTCTTTTATCATTTACTTAGTTTATTGTATTCTTAGTTTAGTGTTTTATAGTTCTTAGTCATAATTTTAGTTTAGTTTCTTTATTAATTATTTTTAATTTGTTATAATATCAACACTAAATTTGATATACCCCGTCTACTATTTCTTCGTAAGGGCCACCTGCGAGCCCAAAGGCGTCTAACCTTTTCTTCTTACTATTAGCTGTACGCCGGAAGCCAATGCAAGAAAAGATTTATTTTCCATTATAATAGTTTAAACATCGAATAGTTGTTACCTATACTGTGTCTAATATCTCTATGACCATAAACAAAAAGAAAAATCAATAAAACCTCATTGTCACTCATATAAGTCATAACTTATCATTCAGTGTAAACACGATTATTTAAAACATCATACGAAACAAGAATTCTCGTATGATCTCGTAAAACAAATCTCATATGATAAAATCATGTAGTGTAAAGTCGACATAAGAACTATTTTAAAAAATCTGTTGGATTTAATACTACTACTACTTGTCGGTTTATAACGTTTTCCACCGTTTTCCGACTTCCAATCGCCACTTAGTCCGGTTGTTCAATAGGTCTTCTTCTATGACCCTCTCAGTTCTTTATTTATTTCTTCGCTCCAACTTTTTCTCGGTCTACCTCGTTTTCTCTTTCCTTCTGGTTGCCATTTTAATATTTCTTTTGGTATCCGTTGTTCATCCATTCTTTGTATGTGTCCGAACCAGATAAGTTGTTTTGTTGTTAGGTCATCTGTGATTGTTCGTTTGATTCCCATTATTTCGTCATGGACGCAGTATAGGCACTATGATTTAATACCTTGAGTTTGTTTTCAATCCGACGTCGGCCGACGTCGTCCGATATCGGATCGGGAGAAAAACGGTTCCAATGTAGGTGTACACTAATGTCACTAATACGGATGAAAATTCTTTCTCTAGCGTCGCGATACCAAGCGACGTGCGTTGACACTGATTTTCTTTCTACCAATGAACTTAGACGCTATTTTATGCCTGCCACTCACTACAGCGAATAAGTGATTTCTTTGTACAGATAATAATTTATGAGTTACTTTGCTAATTTTATTTACAATCACATATTTCATTTTTCGTTTATTATTTTAATTCATTAACCAGCTATATTCAATACGTCCTACTTTATTCAGTCATTATTATATTATTATCATTCTCTTGATTCCTACCGGAAGGCGAGAAGATACTTTCCATATCCATGAGGTTCGAACGTGAAAATTATAACCTCGTTACATATGACACCCGGATATTGACAGAAATCAGAAATATGTCATCAAAAAAGAAGAATAATTCTTCTTTTCTACCTTAAACATGAAGTTGCAGTTTTTGTAGGTTTTAAATTTTAGATTTTTTTGTTGTGGTTGTATTTGAAAAAATACCCTGTTGTGTTGTAATGTTTTTATTCAAAGTTTTAAATGTATTTTTTAATATTTTTAACATGTTTGTGACAGTGTTCTTCACCACTAGGACCAACTCAACATGTAGGTTTTTAAATGTTGATCTCCCAACTTGTACTAAAATAGGTTTTCCATTTAGGTGCTGATGAAGGTAACAACATATCACCGAAAATTTCACATTTAGAATAAAGTTCTACACCAAACTGGCTTACACCATCTCTAGCTGATCCTTGTTTTGACGCTTTCCCCGAAAGTTACCCTCCAAAGAATTGTATTCTTAGCGTCGTTATACACACTCTATTTATATATATATATATATATATATATATATATATATATATATATATATATATATATATATATATATATATATATATATTGTTAACAAGGCATTAAAAAATCCGGGAGGAAACCTCGGTGGCTAAAGGATAATCCAAATAGTCACGTAATACTCCGAAACGATATGGTATTGTAAAGTTTTTTCTTTTTTATTTTATTTTTGGTGTGTCTTGTTACAAAGCAAAAGCGAACACATTAAAAATATTTTCAATTGAAATTTTTTTGAAGATTCCTTGACCACCGTAGTCTCCAGATTTAAACCTACTTGTTTTTTTTTTCTTGTAAGATTGTTTAAAACAAAAGTTACACCTTACGCGACCATTGTAGATGATGTGAGTCAAATAAGGTATCGTTTTAAAGCCATTGCAATTTCCTACATATTTAATTCCCTTAAATTCCCTTAAATTTTTAAAAGTTAAGTCCAATACTTTATTTTATTTACTTAGAAAGAAAGAGAATAAATACGTCAATCGTTTAGATTTTAATTTCTTTTTTTTTGCATAATTTTTGATTTTTTATTGTCATATTTGTCACATTAAGTAAAGGATATGATACAAACATACATATAAAGAACGTGAAATTAAAAAATTATCTTGTGAATATCAGTTGTAAGCATTAAATTCTAGTCTTTAAAAATTATTACCTTGGTTTATTACCTTTCCCAAAAGGTAGGTTTTTATACAATTTCGATTATAAAATAAACAATGAGTGTGGCAATATTACAACTTAGAAATTTAATGAACGACATTAAAATAAATATGTCAGTAGAAAGTTTATCATTGTATGGATGTTTTAATTGGGAGCATCAGTTTTAACATATGAAAGTCTGGAAATAAGTAAGTAGCTAAAAATATTAATTTTAATCCCTTAAAAAACTATCCCGAGATAATTCGTCTTGCACTTGTTACACCTAAAATAAATAACCCGAGATATTTCGGTTTGAGCTATTTAGTGGGAATTTAAGCGATTTATTTAGTTCTTTCCAGTTAGACTATCGGAATTTGAATGAATTTAGACGGAGTAGTTGTTAGAGCGTTAGAGGTCCTGGCTGTGTAATATTGTACAATGGACATGTCGAACGTCGAGGAGATTTGTAAACGACCTCAGTGTGTAAACAACACGTGCTGCGTCCGGCTGTGTCTAAATGGCTAATTTAAAACTGAATTTGAATTTAAAATTGAATAGTTATTTTATTCACTATGAATTCTAGCCAGGGTGGTGAAGATTCAGATAATAGTTTTGAGCTAGATGTATAAAAGACATCAGAAAGTGACGCTGAAAGTAAAATATTTCAGATACCCATAAAGATAATGACAGTGTAACCAGTTTACTTCAAGCAGTCCGACAGTGGGTTAGAGTGGATATAGACCGGCCAGGCCCAGCTCCACCGATGTTTCCTTTTACTGGGAAATCGGAGTATCATTTCAATATACAGGATGTTAAAAATAAGGTCGAGTTTTTTAATATGTTCTTCGATGGTGAACTAGTGGACAAAATTGTTCAAGCAACAAATCGTTTTGCTAATCAGAAAAGGCGATCAGGCTTTTGTAGAGTTATAAAAGAGAACAAATGGACACCAACGGATAGGGATGAAATGCGAGTATTTTTTGTGAAAAAAACCAATAATTGGGACGCCTTTTTTTCCGTAAGATTATGAATTATAAAAGGTTCCCAAAATAAAGTAAAACCTGTATTTCTCTTATAATGAATCTTTCGACAGAAATACTCACCCACGTACGAAACTGTATAAGATCTGGAAGTTTATGTCTACTTCTCTACAAAGGCAGAACATTTGAAACAAAAGATTACGATTTGGTATAAAGAACTACATGCCGTGTGAATTCTCCTCCGGATATATTTGGCATAACATAATTTATACGGGAAAGGATACGAAGTTTGACGAACAATACAAATATTTTTCAGTGACAACAAGTATTGTTATGACGCTAATGAAACCTCTACTGTCGAAAGGTCACTGTTTGACTGCAGACAACTTTTATACATCCCCTAAACTAGACCATTTATTAGCAGTTCGTACAGATACGTACGGTACCATTAGAATGCAAAGAAAGGGTCTACCAGCAAAAATAAAGAACAAACTTAAGAAAAATAAAGTTATCGCGTTTCAAGAAGAAAAGGCAATAGTAATGAAGTGGAAAGATAACTGAAAGGTTTGTGTACTGTCAACGCTGCATAATGCTAAAATGGTTACTAAAGAAAGGCGACGAAACCAGATGAAAAAACCTAGGACTATTCAAGACTACAACAATATTTTGGGTAGCGTCGACAGAGTCGACCATCTTCTTGCTGATTACCCTATAACAAGAAAGCGTGGAAAGAGGTATTACAAAAAAAATATCTCAACCTTCTCGAACATGCTGAGTGGAATGATTTTGTGCTGTACAAGAAAAGCGGACGGCTAGAAACGCATCTAGAATTTCGAATAGGTTTGATAACGCAACTGATTGAAGTTTACTACAAGATAGAGGTGTATCAACAGGAAGACCTTCAACACTTCAAAACCCACTTAGACTTACCGGTCGACATTTCCCAGAAGTTGTTCCTGTCACAGGGAAAAAAACTCATCCAACTAGAGTGTGTGTTGTGTGCAGAAAGGCGAAGAATGTATCCGGAAAGATGTTGAGGAGCGAATCAAGGTAGAGGTTATGGATTTTAACAAGAGCTATGAGTCATTCCGATTCAGTACACAAGTTTACCTGATATTTACAAGGTCATAGCTCTTGTCAAAATCCATTACATTTACTACTGTCCTGATTGCGATATGGGACTTTGTATGACGCCCTGCTTCAAGACGTATCATACGGTAACTAACTTTTAGTTTCTCTTGTTTTTGTTCATTATTACTAAAATATAATATTATGTATGTCTTGTTTTTTACGCTACAATGTAACTGTAAGCTCTTCTGAATAAATACTTTTTGATCATCATCCACAACGTGCATAAAAACTCGTTGTCTAGTTTGCTGCATTTTGTATGCCAACATAATACAAATAAATCACAATAGTAGTAAAATTTATATATTTTTTGTAATTATTAGTAATTTTCAGGTTCAGGGGGCAAATGCCACTTGACCCTATCAAGTGACGCCTCTGGTTTGCTGGGAATGACTTTTAGAAACAAAACGAACATGAAATGCTCAAGGCAAGATATACAACAAAACCTTTAACTCGCAGGTTTTATTTATCCAACCAAAATCCCGTCATCGAGATATCTCGGGATAGTTTTTACACATATCTTCAAACGAAAAAAAAAATAAAAAGCAAGAAAAAATAAATATTGTAAAATATTTTTAAATTCTTCAAAAAGAAGAATTTATTAAACACAACACTAAAATTAACAACTAAAGGAATAACAAATAAATTAAATGAAATTATAACACTAGCAGAAGAACAACAAGGTTTTAGGTCGGGAAGATCATGCACCGACGCAATATTTATAATGAGGCAAGTACAAGAAAAATTATTAGAATACAACAAACCGGCATATCTATGTTTTGTGGACCATACAAAGGCATTTGACCGGGTCAAATTAAAAGACGTTATCCACTTACTTTCATGGTTGAAAAACTTGAGAGAATGGTACAATTGCACCAATTACCAACTGTTTAGATCTGCAGCATCAAAAATACGCATAGCTTTGATGATAGCTAAACTTCGGAACGAAGACGGCACTTGAAGAAGAAGAAGAATCCACTTACTTTATGCAAGGGAGATACCTCTAGGAATAATCAAAACGATCGAAAATATCTACCAAAACAACACAATAAAAGTAAAAGTAGAAGAAGAACTAACCGACCGTATTGAAGCTGGCAATGGGATAAGACACTGAAATTCCCTGAGTCCTCTATTGTTCAACCTGATTATGGATGAAATTATAAAAAAGTAAGAACTAAAAAAGGATACAAATTGGGATACAAACAACTTAAAATAATCTGTTATGTAGACGACGCAATACCACTCACTCAAAATGAAGATGAATTTACAACGTAGCTGCACCAATCTATTATAAGCGCCAGAAAAATTAACATGTTAATTTCCCTAACAAAGACAAAATGCATAGTTACAACATCAAATTTACTAAGATGTAAATTGGAGCTGGAAGGTCAGATAATAAAACAAGTGATGGAGTTCAAATATCTAGGCATCACATTATCTAGCTACGGAAAGCTCGAAACCGAAGTGGAAAATCAAGTGAATAGATCAAACAGAGCCGCAGGCTGCCTAAATGAAACAATATGGAGAAATAAAAATATCGGGAAATAAACAAAAGGCAGAGTTTACAAAACAATCATCAGACCAATAATGACATACGCGGCAGAAACACGACCTGACACAGAGAGGACAAAAAGGATGTTAAAAACAGCAAATATGAAAACACTTAGAAAAATTGATGGTAAGGCACTATGGGATAGAGTTAAAAGTACAGATATACGACAGAGATGCAAGGTGGAGAACATAAAAATTAGGTCAGAAAAAGTAGAGTAGAATGGAATGATCGTATAAGCCGAATGACAACAAATAGAGTAGTAAAGACGGCAAGAGACGGTTTCCCAATAGGAAGACGATCAGTAGGAAGACAACGAAAACGATTACAACTTACAACTTACAACTTACTGGAGGCACATTGAAAAACAGACAGAGTCATATTTATATAAAAAGAAGAAGAAGAAGCAAGAAGTGAAGAAGTAAGTGCATTAATAAAAAAATGGGATTTTTTCGGACCGTCTTTGGAAAAATGAATGGTTTGTTAAGGGGTTACAACGTACTTTTTTTAATAAATCTAATACAGTATTTAAAAATTTTAAAATTAATCTTTATTTATTCCCTAAACATTCATCTTTAAAAATTTAAAACATTAAAGATTAATCTATAGGGAATGGCAAGGGCTTTAAAACGATATCTTATTTGACCCCTAGTGTCATTAAAAAATGTTGCGGTCATTCTTACCCTAGCTTAGGTGTCATAATTTAAAATATATGAAAAATACTTGTCCCTCTAATCAAAAATCTACATATAGATGAGATTTTTCAAAACTATTGCAGGTCTTGATAATGTCTTTATTTGTTTTTGTCCCGCCTCCCTGTATTATAAAATGAGAAAGGAATGAACATTGAAGAAATACTTACCATTTGGTAAAATTCTTGGCCAGGATATTGAAAATCGATAATGGGTTGCGCCTAGTTCTTTAAGGAGAGCGACATCTTCTTTGTATTTGTGATACGAATCACAAGCCACATCTGCTGTGCTATTATCTGCTATTATAGAGGGTGTTCTGTGAGTGGTCGTATCCCATACACTGGGACTTTTTCCATCTTCGTTCCATCCTCCTAGAATTATTTGTAGATTAGAATATAATTGTAATATATAATTTATTTAAACAGTAATAATTAGTAACCAGAAATAATAATAAAAAAATAATTAACATTTCTAAATATCGATATCCAGTTATAGTTACAGTTAGTTATAGTTATATAATACATAACGCAATCTGACAACCATCAAATTTTATTTGAAAAAATACAGGTGCTCAGTATTTGATGATGTTACTATCCAAGAATATTTAGAAAAACATAGAAATTCATAAGCACCTGATTAACTCGGAAAAAAACAGGGTCTGTATTTAAACAGAATATGGATATCAGCAATAAAAAAACCTCTCGTCAGACCCACAAAATATTACAAAGTATTTAAAAACAGAGTCGTTCAAACTGTTAGATCCTAGGAAGTAGGTCTAAATGCTAACTGCTAATTTAAAATCTGCTTTGTAGACAGACTATCACAGTCTACAGAACTATATTTAAAAAACATATTACAAAGACAGCTGAAAATCTCAGAACTTGTAATAACGATCTTCTAAAGCTATATGTGGCACCACATTAGGTTACTTATCGTACAACAGGTAATGGAAAGAGTTTATTCAGTTAGTGAGGAATACGGCCTAAGCCTTAACTTCAATAAGATAAAGTGGATGCTGATAAGCGAAAAGCAACAACCTGCTCGATAATTACGAATGAGTAACATACTAATTGACCATATAGAATCTTATGTGTACCTTGGCACCAACGTAAATGCAAACTGGGAACAGGCCACAGAAATTAAGGCGAGAATAAAACGAGCTAAAGCTGCATTTAACAATATGAAAAAGCTCCTCATAAGCAAGGATTTGTCTCTTCCCTTAAAACTACGTCTAGTTAAATGCTACATTTTTTCGATCTTACTATATGGTGTGAAGGTCTGGACGCTGACTGAGACGCTCACGAGTAAACTAGAAGCATTCGAAATGTGGGTGTATCGACGTATTTTTTGTATATCCTGGACCGAACATGTCACCAGCATAAAGATAATCCAAACAATCGGAAAGGAGAAAGAAATCGTGAGCACAATTAAACAAAGAAAGCTTGAAAATCTAGGCCACAAATTGAGACAGATAAGTACCGTCTAGTACAATTGATTGTCCAGGGCAAAATAGACAGTAAGCGAGGGCCAGGCAGGGGAAGACACTCATGGCTCCAATATCTGCGGAAGTGATTCGGGCTCACATCGGTCGAACTATTCAGAAGCGACACAAACAAGATCAGAATTGCCATGTTAATAGCCAACGTTCGCAACGGATAGGTCACTTGAAGAAAAAGATCGGTTAACGTTTCTATGGGCAGCACTAGGCCTGGTAAACTCTGTCGCGCAATACTGCGTACCGGTGTGGATCAACAGCTCGCATAATAAACCATGTTATGTCCAACTCAACCAATTCATGCATAATGTTAGAACACTCCTACTATTACAGCACCTGCAAACTAATCTCGAATAATCAAAATATATCTGTGTAAGATTAAAAAAATTAGGAGGCCTGTAACAAGGTCCACGATTCACTTTTCACGTTCACGTCCCCAAACTACAATAATGGCGTTGAACTTAGTTGTTTAATGGTGTTGTAACTTAGGTGAAACGCATCTTCTGGCCCTGATGGTATACACAAACGATTAATTAAAACACTTCCAGAGAGTATTATCTCGCTGCTTGTCAATATAATCAATGCTTGCCTCTCGTTGAACTAATTTCCTATACCTTGGAAAGTGTCCAACAAAATCATGATTCCCAAACCAGAGTAACATCAAACAAGCACAGAATCCTACAGACCAATTTCTGTACTAAGGTAAAGTTCACGAGAGTATCCTTTAGAAGAGACTCGTAGAATTCCTATGCACATTTTATCATCTCAAACTTCCAATTCGTGCTCAAAGCTGAACACTTCTTATTTGTATAATGTATTAATGGAAGCAGCAAGCTTCATATCACAATCCATAAAGGAAATTATAGATATCCCATTCGCATTTTTCTTGATGTCTAGAAGGCCTTTGATCAGGTTTGGCATGCATGTCTGATCAAAAAGCTCCACATTACTGGTCTGCTTTCATCCTTCATATAAATAATACATTCCTATATCTCTAATCGGACAATCCTTCTTAAGATCGCTAACCCACTATTAACACCATTTACTGCATAAGCTGGAGTCCCCCAATAGGAGATCTGGAGAATACTAATATTATACACAATCTGCAACAGTGACATCCCCCTCCTTTTAAATAGAGTCTATACTACTACATGCTGTCGATACTGCACTCATTTCCGCAGGTACATACCACGGGACATTGAGGCATGCGTCTGTATTCGATAGAGTACAAAATTACTTGAACAGAATTGTTAGGTGGTACAAAAAATAGGAGATTACACTTAACCCTACCAAAACTCAAATAATTTTATTCAGATCTCTTCACAGTCGTGATGCTGAGAGGAACCAGATAATTCTTCTCGGAGAAAGGCTCGAATTCAGAACCTCGGTGTCCTATTTCGGAGTTTATTTTAGGAGGACCCTTAACTGGACATCAAAATTACCGAAGAAGAGCTAATCTCCCAGGTACACTATCTGGAAAATTTGGTCATATTTTAAATCAAACTTTACTCTTTTGCACACTTACAGGACTTTTATTAGGGCCACATTCGAATACAAGGCATGTATTTAAGTGTCACTGAACAAATGCCAAATTAACACCATTTTGGTAACAGAAAGAAAAATCCTGAAAAAGTGCACGAGAAAACATGACTATCCGTCAATCTCGCTTGCACCCCCTTGCGAATATCCCCATAATAGACGACAGAGCCTGTACTCTTAGCAACAGATATGTCCTTCGCACAATAGTAACAATAGTACTATAGTAAAGCACTTCCTGATAAGTATTACGACGTCCTAGAAGACGCACATCGCTTAGATATCGCAGATAAAATAACTTCATGTCAAAAACGCAAATTCAAGATCTGTTCCTCCCAGCATTCATCAAAGCGTCCTCCCAGCGACACTGAAGGTACCTTTTACTCATGGCTTGGTTGGTTCACTCAAAATTAATGCTTCCTCATTACGCTTCACTCTTATACACTACACAAGCACTTTTAAAGTCCCTGCTCCTCTAGCAGTAGTGCCACCCTAATTGTCCATTTGAAACTGACGTTGCCACCCTCTCAAAATCCCCCGTAATAAAAAAATGGAGCAGAAAAATGAAGAAGAAGGAAAATCTTAAACAAGATTTATAATGGTTCAAGTCGTGGTTGAAAGACAAAGTAATAAATAGGTGGAGAGGGAACTTTCGTAATTTTTCAGCGAAAAAAGGTAATTTTTCATAGTGACTACGATTATGTGACTAGAACTATAAATAAAAGAAAATGACACGGATACCACATGGGAGCGCATAAATCACGATACTATGCTATGCCGATGATGCAGTACTAATTGCTGACCGAAGATGATAACAAAGATGACCTACAAAGGCAGCTCAACACCTTCAATATCACAGCAAAAAAACTTAATATGAGAATATCAGTAGAAAAAACTAAATGTGTAGTGATCAGTAAAGAGCCGCTTAGATGCAAACTAGAAATAGACGGCAAAATTGTAGAACAAGTAATGAAATTCAATTACCTAGGAGTAGAGATAATAAGTGACAGGGATATAAGAACAGAGATCACAAGGCAAGCATCAAAAGCGGCAAGAGTAAGTGGTTGCCTCCGAGAAACCATTTAGAGAAACAAATATCTGACCACGGAAAGCAAAATGAAAGTATACAAGACAACAACAAGACCAATCCTAACATATGCAGCGGAGACAAGGACCGATATAAGAAACACGAAACAACAAATCAACACTATCGAAATGAAAGTATTAAGATCAATAGCGGGCATATCATTAAGAGACAGACAAACCAACAGAAGTATACGCAAACAATGCAAAACTTAAAAGATTAACAGGTGGATTAAACCTAGAAAAAAACTGGAATGAACATGTAAACCGAATGGGACCAGATAGGTTAGCAAACATCTGTAAAAACAACAATCCGTATAGCAGAAGACCCGTTGGAAGGCCGTCAAAAAGGTGGAAAGATAAAAAAGGCAGACAAACAGGAGTAGTCCTAGTCGCACGAAGAAGAAGAAGAAGAACTGATAAAAAATGAAATGTGTCAGATGAGGAGTCTTGTTTAGACTATCGACACATATGTTTTGAAATAATAGGTACAGCGTCTATTAGGGGAACTTATTTTAATCCTTATAAAAAAAACTAAAGCATATTAAACAGACCTGAAATGTTGTTTAGACAGATTTGAAGGACCAATAAAGCATACACTAAACCTAAACATGGCCGTTGAACAATCTGAACAGGTTATCATGTCATCGTTCCGGAAAAAGTGATCAATTCTAACAATATCCGGATAGCAGTAAGGGATTCTAATAATAAAGTACCCTGGTACAATGACAACCTTAAAAATCACAGGACGAAAGTCAGACAAAAATTTAATTTCGCAAAAAATGAGGTGAGTAGGGCGATTACGTGAGGCGAGTGACATGATTGATTTAACTCATACGGAATGAAATTACCTTTCTGTTCAAAAAAATATGTATGATACTACAGGCTAGGTTATAGCTTGCACCATCTTGTACAGAGAGTGGAGTACATCCTGGAAAACCAAGAGGTGGTGTTGGAAGTATTTCCCGATAAAAGGAATATTCGGAAACACCTCCTACTAAACAATCACAAGAACAAGTCGTCTAAAAGTAATAGACGAAGCGAGCTGTAGATGGATAGACTAAATGCCGAGAAGCCGTGTAATAGACGCAACGTTACTAGTGGATAAAGTTCAAAATTAGCCAGTGGCTGATTGAAGGGGGAATCTTATTTTCACTTTGCTGAAATGTTGGGTATTCAGATGACCTAATTATCTTAACCCAGAGAAAATTTATTATCGCAGTCACAGTATAAACTTTAAAATTAAAAAATTTACTAGAGGGAATTTAGAGGCATTGGGTCTTCTAAGGCTACTTGGTACACATCTAAATGTGTTAAATGAAGTAAAATATTTTGTGTATTAGACTCGAGGCTTACATAGAATTAGCACATAGCACGAAAAACAAAAAAGTGGTAACTATATTAATGATAGCCAGATACACTCCTAGAACAATGTGAGGTCTAAAACCAGACACGCTATATTGGATTTATAACATGGTATTAAAACCAATATTTACATATGAAACAGTGGGACGGTGGCCAAAGGTGCAGCAAAAAAGCGCCATCCTCAAACTAACCATGATGCAATTTCTTACCTAGAAATCACAGGGGATCTGAGGGGCTATTATAAGTGGGCAGGCGAGATTGGTATATTGGTATGAGACTGCTAGAAAATCTGAGTAACGTAAATGTTAAATTATCACTTAGTCACATTATAAATGAAATCAGTTTACCAGATGGAGGATAATTTTTAACCATATAGTACGTAGGTATAGTGACAACCAGTGATAGTGTGCACTATATTCAAGCTCTGACCGGTCCCTGTAGGATCCTTAACTCCGCGCACCAGTGCAGTTACTATCAAGTCGGGTTTTAGGAATGGACAGGCACCCTAAGAAGAAGAACCCCTCCAGATTCCTGGAAGCTTAGTTTTAAAAATAACGTAGATCCCAAATTATCTAAGTGGTGAGTAAGTTATTTTTTCCTACTCATCTAGCTATTTTTCAAGCCATCGCACGAGATGTTCATCTGCATTGAATTGACAAAAGCCTATCTACCTGAAAGACCTTATTATTCAGTGGAAGAGTTTCTTAATAAATAATTAAGAAAGTACAGTACGTTTATATATAACTGTATACAGTATACTAGAAGAGTACAATGAGGGCATCAAGATTAATGGCGTACCAATAAATAATTTTCGATATGCAGATGATACTATTATACTGGCCGATAACATCGAAGATGTACAGATGATGCTACATAGAGTTAATACAACTGGCAGCCGATTTGGACTGAAGATCAATAGAAAGAAAACTAAATTTATGGTGATCAGTAAAAAAAAATCTCAACATATCGACCTGCATATTGAAGACGAACGTTTTGAAAGAGTACACCGATTTAAATATCTGGGATATACAGTAAATGACAAGTGGGACCCAGAAGTAGAGATTAAGATCCTAATTGAAATAGCAAGATCCAAATTCATCAAAATGAGAAACCTCTTAAGCAACCGCAACCTAAGCATTAACCTCCGATGGCGAGCCACGAAATGCTACGTACTCTCTACGCTACTTTACGGCGTAGAAGGGTGGACGTTAACAGCAGCAACTATAAAGAAGTTAGCGGCTCTAGAAATGTGGCTGTATCGACGCATACTGAGAATACCTTGGACAGACAGAGTGACCAACACAGAGGTATTAAGACGAATGGGTAAAGAGGTGGAATTATTAACAACTGTTAAAAGGAGGAAAGCGTCATACCTGGGCCATGTGTTCCGTAATGATAAGTACAGTCTGCTACAGCTTATCGTGGAAGGCAAGATTGAAGGTAGAAGAGGCTTGGGCAGAAAGAAGAAATCCTGGCTGAGAAACTTGAGAGAATGGTTTCAAATACCAGAAGCTGCGAACATAATTCATGCGGCACAAAACAGAGAAACCTATCGTATGATGGTCGCCAACCTTCGGTAGAAGACGGCACATAAAGAAGAACAGTACGTTTAGGTACAAGCAACAAAGTATGTTTTACATAATATATTTGGCTATCACATTCAGCAGCTTAAACTTATTACTAAACTTATTCGTAAACTAGTTCGTAAGGTTTTATTATGCAATTTGCAATATATTGAAATTTTGCAATAGATTGTATATTTTATTATGTTTTATTCTGTGATATTGACGATTTATGTAATTTTAGTAAATTTTAATTGTTATTGTTATTATTACTTTTTTTTAACTTTTATAAACTTTGTCCATCAAATTGTACAATTTTCAGTGACAATAAAGCATATTTCTATTCTACCTATCTAAGTAGACATTTATCTGCGAGAAGGATGTAGCAGAGAAAACACTCTACTCAGACTACAGGGTTATACGTGACACACAGACGGGTGCAGAAGGGCCTGGTGTAGGAATATTTAGTAGTTCTGAAAATTTAAACATTTTTATTCTACTAGAAGAATATATCTCTATATTCCAGGAAGAGATCTTTGCAATCTTGCACTATACAGGAGAACTTTTAAACTGAAGCGAATCAATATACGCAAATTTAAACAAGCAGCCATTGAAGCTCTTATAAGCCCTAAGGTGAAGTCTAGGCTAGTATGGGAATGGCGAGAGGAACTCGACAAACTGGCCAAAAAATAACAGTGGTCACGCTGATATGAAGTGTAGGTCACCGGAGAATATATGGGTGCTATTGAACTATTGCTAGAACAGCTTCAGCTGCAAAATACTTTGATCCAGAACCACCTGTCGGAATATCAACAAGCATCGTCCGCGATTTAAAAAATTCTAGATCCGAAGGCAACATAACTCCCACTAGGAAAACATAGCCGCTCAAATATATGGCAAAATGGATATTGGATAAATACAAATAAAATATAAAATAAGTAGGAATCAGCTTAGAGTTACAACAGGCTTCTGTGCTAGACATGCACCAGTCAATGGACACCTGCATACAATTTAACTGTCTCATAAAGACTTAGCTACAAATTCTGTAGCAGAGGACTTGAAAGGGCCAACCATATCTCAGAGAGTACGAAAGGTTTACAATATACGGCTTTTATTGAATTTAAATGTTGATTAGATTAACTAGTTTTTAATAAATAAATATTTTGTTTTTATTAACTTAATATTATATATCAATGGATATATTTATAATTTATAAGAACGTTGATCATGATGAAAATTAACAGCACAACAAGAATAACATTAGAATTTTTCACTGTCAACCACCCTGTGATCAATCACATAAACAAATACTTTGAAACTAAATATTTACCAAAGATAACAAAGATGGGGATGAATCATGACATGCGAGAAGTATTAATCAAATCATTTAGTATATATATATATATATATATATATATATATATATATATATATATATATACATATATATATATATATATATATATATATATATATATATATATATATATATATATATATGAAGCTGTGGGTATATATTGACAGAATAAAACACAAACCACTTAATAGCGATGATAAACATGAATAATAAGTAAAAGATCTACAAACAAATCGTTGATATAAAGAAATAATCGGGTAGGAGATGTAAGCAAGATGATGGTATAATCATGCAGATAAGCAAAATGACGAAGAAAGTGTAAGAATTATAACATAAAAACGGTGTTCAAATAAAAATACTTACAGCCTCTACTGAGTATTATAGAAGTATGTATTTGTGTATGGGTATGTGTATGTGTGTGTGTGTAAATTTATAAATGTACCTATGTATCTTACCTTCTATTTGAAATGCAGCAGTTGCACATCCAAACATAAAATCTGGTGGAAACCTTTTATTATTCAGTGCATCTAAAAATCTAAAAACAACAATAGATATTAGTTACCTAACTCGAAATTCAAACCAAAGTAAAATATTAAATTCTATTCGCAGTATCATAAAGGGAACACGTCAAGAGGTATTTAGATTATAATTTTTTCAAGGCCCCAAATTTTTTCCCGAGGTTTTGAGAGTGTGTTACAATGAATGTAACATGATTAATTTGTCGTCAAATTCAATTTCAGTTCTTAAAAAGTTTTCGTAAAAATTTTGAAATAGACACTCCATTTGTATGCGAGCAGTAGACACGTCCAATTTTCATTGATATAAATTATTGACAAACATTTTGGTTTTCAAGTCTAAGGCTAAGATTACATTGGATGCGTAAACGTGCGATTTTTTACACGTGCGGTTACGTACGATATCGCAAATGAAAACAAACATCATTTAAATGTACTGTTAAATGTTTTTGCAAGGAACCGAACTTTTGCATGTTAAGCAAAAAAAGCTCAAAACATATTTGGCACGGTCTTCATTTGCTGCTGATAGTGATTACCACTTTTTATTGAGTCTTTTACCACAGGTGAAATAACTTACAGCTGTGACAATTGACAAATATGCAAATGTGTGTGAATATTCAGCAACTGTTGTATCATCATCATCATATAACGGGGGTCCTACGGCGATTGCCGCTTCCCGCATTTCAGCCTCCATCTTTTCCTATCTCTCCAATCTCCCTCTTCTAAGCCTCTAGATTGCATTGTTTTTGTAATTTCTCTTCTCCAGGAATTTGGTGGTCTTCCACCTTTTCCTTCTTTCTGGCGGAACATACATTAAGGCTTTCTTTGGCCACCGCTCCTCCTCCATTTTCATCACGTGACCATACTATTGTAATTACCTTCCTTGTATTCTATCTGAAAGAGTATCTCTAATTCCTGTACGGTTTCGTATTTCCTCATTCCTGATTCTTTCCATTCTCGATATTCGACATGACCTTCTAAGATAATCCATTTTCACAACGTCTACTTTATCTCGTTCATTCTTTGTCATCGTCCAACATTCGGCACCATATGTGGTAATCGGTTCTACAATTGCTCTGTATACACGAAGTTTGGTATGCATCTTTATTTTATTAAACTTTGAGGGTATACAAGGCAACTATCGAACACGGTGATTAATTTAATCTTGCCCAAGCGCTTTCGATCAATAGATCATCTTCAGGGGGATTTCGTCTATTGATCGAAAGCGCTTGGGCAAGATTAAATTAATCACCGTGTTCGATAGTTGCCTTGTATACCCTCAAAGTTTAATTATTCGAACATTCAACCTTATATTGATTTATTTTATTAGACCACAGTAATGAATTCAGTATTCGGATGCATTTTTTCCCTTGGGTTATTCGGTTTTGTACATCTATCTTAACTCTACCATCTGCTGATATGATGCTTCCTAGATATTTATACTGGTTGCAGCCTTTTATGACTGCGTTTTCAAGCCTCAGATTTGTGGTATTTCCTCCAATTTTTAAATATTTTGTTTTGCTTATGTTTACAGTAAGCCTCCATTTGGCATATTCCTCAAATAATTTTCGATTCATATAATTTATATCTTCCTCATCGGTTGCAACCACCACTTGATCATCTGCAAATAACAATGTATACAGAGTTTCTTGTCCCACTTCGATGCCCATAAATCTACATTTATTTCTCAAATTCCTCAATACTTCTTGGACGTATATTTTAAAGAGTGTCGGTGACAAAGAGCATTCTTGCTTTAGGCCTTTAGTGACTTTAAATTCATTTGAAGTTCTAGTTCCAATTTTTACACAACTAACTGCATTTTCGTACAATTTATATATCGCTGGGATATAGGTCGAATCCAATCCGGACCTTTCGAGGACCTAAAACATTTTCTTTAACGGGACACTATCATATGCTTTATAAAGGTCTATAAATACCAAATGGGTCTCTCTACTTCTTTCGACGCGCTTTTCAATTATTTGTCGTAGGATAAATATTTTATCAAGGCAGGATCTCCCGGTACGAAAGCCGCTTTGTTCTTCAATATCTTGTATCTGTCTTTCAACCCTCTTCTTTAATATTCTGCCGCACAACCGGCCCACAGAGCTCGTCACACTAATACCTCTATAACTGGAACAGTCTCTTTTATTCCCTCTCTTATATATGGAGCTTATATAAGATGTATTCCAATCTTTAGGAATTTCCTGGTCTCCACACATACATTTATTAAAAAGGTCTACTATTAATTCTAAAAGTGCAGTCGGCCTATATTTAACCAGCTCTATGGGAATGTCTCCAAGCCCTGCGGCTTTTCCGTTTTTAACCTCTTTAAGGTTTCCGTCAATTCAGATAATGTTATTATAGGGATTTCCTGTCTTTCGTCTCTGTTATCTATTAATTCCCTTGTCTTGTCCCATCTGTACTCTACTCTATCCTCTTTTAGCAGTTTTGTATAATATTCTTCCCATTCATTTTAACTTTATAAGAGGAATGTTCTCTTCATTTTTCTCATTTTTCCTAAGCTGCTTTAATGTTTTTCAAGCTTGTGCCACTTTTGTTTCACCCATAAATCTATCCAGCTCATCACACTTAGCCTCCCAGTTTACATTTTTCGCCTTATCTACTTCTTTTATAACTTCTCTATTCCATTTGGCGTATATTTCTCTGTCTTGAGGATCTTTGCATTGAAGCCATATGTGATATGCTTGTTTTTGCTGGAGAACTTTCTCTTCTAGTTTCGTTGACAACCATTCAGGTTTTCCTTTTTTCCGATTTTCAACTTTTCCCAGTGCTTTATAATTCTTTCATCTACTTCTTGCCATAATTTAATACATTTTTTCAGTTTCTGATGTATTGCTATAGACACTTCCCTTTTAGCTTATTCGCTTTTTTCTACGCCACTATAGAAATGCAGGTATTCGCTTATCTTTTCATTTCCTCTTCCTTTTTTCTTTACTTCAATTAATACACAGATGTCTAGTTTCATTTTACTCAGTTCACGGAAGGCCTCCTCCTGTTTTGTCCTTATTCCTTGTATGTTCCATGCACCCAAATTCATAGTTCATTTTCTTGCGAATTTCGTTTATAGTTTAATTCGTCCGAATTATAAGGCTTTTTGCTGAAATTTTTAACCTTTGATCATTTTTTCCGAGTATCGAGGAGTTGGCCCGATGCCTCAACCCCCAACTTGAAGGACCATGGTTTTAAATCAGAATATCCTTCTCTTAGATAAATTGCCTTCTCTACGGCTTAGGAGTCCTATCTACTTCACATGTTGGTCCGCGGGTGATACTTTATTTCCCAACTGCAACTGCAACTGTTTTTAAACCAACTAATTAATATGCAGTCTGGTTTTGGTCAACTCTCAAATACACATTAAGCTACCGTTTCTACTCCGCCGATTTCACCATATGCTACTTATACTTCAGGGTCTACTGGAGCATCGGTTTTACAACCATTTACTTCGATAAGCTAGTACAGAATACCCCGAAATGTTGAATGCTTCATCCAACGGCGAACAGGAGGGAAATGGGTATGTATTTTCATACCTTTACATATTACCAAGGTGTTATTAAAACAATATAAATAGTTAAACAATATCACTACGCATCTACAATATCACTACGATTTTACACTGTAATCCAGGAATGTATATAATATAGCCTAGGTTATAAAGGGCAACCTCAGGAGCAATCCCCATTTCATTTAAAAAAAAATTGTTATTGTTTATTTATGAGCGTTTATAGTTGCAAAATACATATTTTTTTAGTTTTTTTTTCATTTTTTGCCTAAAGTAAGTATTGTAATGGGTAATTTATGTATAGATTATAAAAGTACTCTTAAAGACCTTCAATTATAGCCGGTATACGTTCAATTTAATTTATTGCAAAATTGCTTTTTTTTATTTCAAATATATTACATTCAAGCCTATAAAATTACAAATCGAGTAAGCCGTAGTGGGCCTAGATCAATTCATTTGTTGCTGAGATACGTTAACTAGTTTATCCCACGACTTTCAACTTTGAATGCTCATAGGATTGCCAAAAAATGGTAGAAGGCTAATTCTTGTTTCATTCTCTTCCTAAAACCGTTCATTTTCATATTCCACTGGAAAATAATAAAAAAAAATTCTTTTAACCCGTTAAAAACGATTATTTATAAAGTTGTAAATTTGCAGTTATAAACAATTAGAGCAGCAGCGCCCCCTATGTACCCTACAAATTTCTAATTTGCAGATTATTGTAGCTGGCTTCGAGACAAAGATTTAAAAAAAAGAGTTTTCTACGACCAATAGGAGCCGAGTTAGCATAATTTTTTAAAAAATTACAGAGGCTTTATTAATAACAATTAAGAAACGAATCTGCGTTATTCCCTACTTAAATACCTTTATTTTCAAGTCTTTATTGTTAAAAATGGCGAACCAAATTTACCTTTTTTCAAGCGATGGTACAGAAGTGGTGGTGGGATGACTTCTCGACGCAACGAGAAAAAAACTTAATCTGGGGTAGCTCGTCGAAATAATAATATCTGGAATACTTTTACCCTTAAAAAACCACCCCTTAAAAATCCACCAAATTTTTTTTTTCTAAATATTAAATTTTTTTTTGAGGTTGCCCTTTATAACCACATTACATAAATACCTGGATTAGACAGTACTTTTTCCCCCACAGCCTGAGCTTTTACCCTTTTTATGGTTTCCTTGTAAACTCAATTAACATCATTTTTTTAAATACAATCTGTTCGACTCTTTGGTAATTATCGAGTTAGATTATAATTCAGTTGTAAACATAGTATATAACTTAAATAACTGTATGTGACAGGCAATAGTTTTTACAATCTAAGGTTTTATGTTTTTGTTGAAGATGGGTAATAATATTGCATTGTACCAATTGTGGACCAAATTTGGTCATCTATACTGATTTACAGAATTTCTTCGACCCAATATTTAAAACTATTCTTTGGTTGTTAATTTTATTTAATGTTTTCATTTTTATCTAGTCTGTAATGTAACTGTCAAAGTATAGA